GATAAACACTATTTAATCATAAAAAGATGTACCTTTTATATGTGGAATCTTAAAGAAAATACTACGTCAATGGAACATGAGTCTAAATGGAATGGATAACAATAAAAGAGAATAAATGTATAATACTTGAGTATATGCCAGTAACATAAAACAGTAATATAAATATAATGTGGAGTAATAATAAAAGAATCATAAAGAATAACTCCTAATGAATATACTGTATAAATGAATATGAAAAATATAACAACATTGGAAATTTGCATTCACCAACCCCAAACCTTTGAACATAGTGTAGCTAAAAAATTACATTTTCATTATAGACCAAAAAAGCGCTCACAATTAACAATGTAATGATGCAAATTTTCATTCTAAGGACACCGTGTTTGTGTGGACTGAACCTCGGCTGTGTACTGGAGGACTGACTCTCCCGCTGAAGAGAACGTCTCCATGTGAGGCGATTGATTTCTGGCTGAAGGTGGGCGCTGGGCTTGGAGTGTTCTGTGCTATTCTGCTCATCTCCCTGACCTGCTACTTCTGGAAGAAGAACAAAAAGTATGATTCTTGTTTTTGGAGATATACTAACATCTTTCTTTGTTTATGCTAATAAGCTTCGTGCTTCTCTATCTTTGTGCTCTGATAGGCTGGAGTATAAGTATTCCAAACTCGTGATGTCGGCCAATAAAGAGTGCGAGTTACCAGTGGCGGACAGCTGTGCCATTATGGAAGGAGAAGGAGACGAGAACGAGGAGGAAGAAGTGGTTTATGCCAACAAGTCTTCTCTTCTGGCTAAACTAAAGGCTATTGCTACAAAGGTTAGCTAAACAACAGCAGGTTTAAATGCTTTCCTTTAAAGAAACATTGTGAATGGTGCCATGACAAAAACAGTTAGCAAAGATGCTAACAATCTTTCCCAATTTTCTCCTGTCATTCTTTGATATTAAAGAGGCATAAAACCCAGAAAAACAAGTACTCGGTTTAAGAAAATAAGCCGATTGAGGAAATTAGACATCAACACCACTGAACTTTATTGCTATACTACATTTTTAAAAGGTTGAGTTTGTGCTGCACCAAACAGAACCGCAAGAATAATAGCTCTTCATTTACATTACATTTGCACATTTAGCCAGTGCTTTTATCCAAAGTGCTTTAAGAGGAACAAAAGCAATTAGTCAAGGAGCCAACAAGAGTTG